GCCTGATTATTTTTCATTATAATCCTAAGCCGAAGAGAGTGTTTTAGAAGCCGCTGACTGACTTCAAGATTAAATTGAATTGACATGTATGGAATAACAGTACTTAGTACAAAAAACTAAACCACCTCGGTTCACCGACTTTGTGTATCCGTCTAGATAAGGCTCATTAGTTCATCGGCCCAAGGCTCCTTAGGTGATAAATTCGTAGTAGTTTAAAATCGGATAAAACTCTTTTCCTGAACGAACAAAAACATTGTTTTTTTCCTTTGTCTTTGTCTTTGTTAGTAATTATTAATTTTATTATTTCGGCAGTTCCAGCATCAGGTTGGGGATTTTAATTACCGGCCTTATTAGAGCTGGCAAAAACCGTTTCGTATAGTTGTTTCTGAGCAAGGATAACTCCTTTATAATAACGAGAAATCGATAAGAACCTACCTAAGTTTATTAAAAAAATGTATAGTTTTACTTTCTGTTCTTTTTTAAAAAATTCGGCTTACTTAAGGATAACATAATCCTGTGTTGTAAGGACGTTTTACAAACATAAATTTCACGCGGACAAACACCCAGATGCGAAACAATTATCTGCGGGTCACACAAATAGTTGTCCCGAGTGGGAATCGAACCCACGACCCCTGACGCCGAAGCCAATAGCCAATAGCCGAAGTTTAGCTGTCCTAGATAGGTCCACTGCTGGATCCAATTTATACATTGACCTAATTTGAAGGATGCTGTTAATATTCCCTATCACCAGGCCTATTCTGAAATACTAAGCCAACTGGCCAATTTTCCTAATTAAGAATCCTTACGTTTATTCTCATGTTTAAGAATCGAGGCTCGCCGAAGTGAAAATAAAATTAACTCTCTCTCTCTTTAAACAATTATAGAAAAAAGAATTTATTGATAGGAAAATAGTAATGGCAGACATTCGTGAACGGATAAACCAATTTAAATCATTTTTGATAACCGATAATCTCGGATGCTTGATTGTTTCTCCTTCTTCGAAGCGTAACAAAGAGTTAGAACAGATCTGTATCGTTATTCTAGACTTTACGCTACTGATGTAAGCCGAAATAAGAGTGAAGCAATGATTAATCCAATGTAATATATCTAAGTTAGTAGTCTGTGCCACAGATTTGTTCTGCATTTTATTAACAAACACCATTTTCGAAATCCATTAACAGCTCCAACAGTACACTGTCGATGAAGTGCACGGGCATAGCGAATGCTTCTTGCAATCAGACCGGAGAATTGTGTGGCGAACAAAAGGCGAGCTTTAAATGCAGATGAGGGCTCTCGTAACATCAGCGTTGACCTTGAACTCCGCTCTGCGTCAAGGCATTATGTAAACTTCGTTAGCGATACCTAAAGTTGGTGTGACGGCACCCATAGAAAGCGTTGCGAAATTGTTGCACGTGACTGTACCGGGATTGGCTTTACATTCGGGTAGTTTCAAAATACAAGTGTCTTCTGAAGTATTAACGACTCCTTTATTGCTCAATGTTTAGGGTGGCGTGGATTTGATTTTGAAAAGGTATTGTGGAGTGTTCCAAGGTCGATACAAAACCCCGCGGACACGAAATCGACAAAATTATGGAATAAAACCTTTTTCGGTTTTAATTTTTCGTGCAGACCAACAGTGAAAGGGTGGCTGATACCGATACGAACGCATGAAAATCAAAATCTTAGTTCAAGCGTTTATTCTATTTTTACTTTATTTCATCGACCTTGGTGACTACTTACTTGAGTTCTACGGATATCTGGAATTGAACTTGCCAAGTTCAATGTTAGAGTCAGTTATTTATTTTAATAAGTAGACTTGATACACCTATATAATTTTTTTATTAACGAAAAACAAAACCGACCTCAAATATCTCTCTCTATATTCATTTTATAATTGATTTAGGAGTTCCCTAAGTATCACCGGAGCCTAAGATCTGATACCAATGAAATTAATATGGAACCACATGGGAAGCACCAGCTTTCAAGTAAAAAAGAATCATCAAAATAGGCTCACTCGATTGAGAGTCCTGAGGTAAAAAACATTAAAAAAAATACAGTCGAATTGAGAACCTTCTCCGTTTCTGAAGTCGGTTTGAAATTCGGAGTAGTTAAGGGAAGAATCGCCGAGAAAATAAAATACTTCTTCTTGTTTCTTGTCTTTTAAGGAACGAGTGAATCGAAATTGGCAAGTGTCCAAAAAGAGTTATAGAAAGATGTTTTCTAAATACAATTGTTTCATTCGAAATGCGTAACAACATAGAACGTTCGTATCAAAGTGACCTTTACGGTTATAGAAAATTAGTAGGGATGGCATCGATTCGCTTTGGTATTCCGAAAACGGTACCAGACGGTGATAGCTGAGCTTAAGTATTGCGGGCTACCCCTAAACCACCCCTTTGCAATATTGCAATATAAAGTGGTTCAAGTATTATTGAGCTTTTATTATTCATTACAGTTGTTGATTCGCTTATACTATACTTATTATGTTTTGTCGACAGTTAATTGCAAACTGAGCAAGTCTAGTTAGGAACTACTCTCAGACACACTGTAAAATTCATAGTACTTCAGCAGACTCATACCACAGTGCCGGTATCATTGGAAATGTTGGAATTCCAATTTAAAGTGCTGATTCACCACGTATTCTGTGGTAAAAAAATAAGCCATTTACGATGACGCATCGGACGTTTCTGAAGGTTATGATTAAAATGAAAAGTTTACCCAATTTTCACAAAGGTGATGTTATATTTAATTTAGATATATTAATTGCAGAGGAGTAGAGGACTTGCAGTACCTCAGAGTCGAGAATATATTTCCGAGGGGATACAAAACTTTTTAGACTCCTTTTGCTAAATGTATCATTTCGTGGCTATGTAATTATAATCGCCGGCCTGGTTGCAGGATTACCAACTTTTAGGAGATGCTGACCTGCTTTGAGTGTGGTACTCAAGTTGCCTTTTAAAGCGAAACACAAAAGTCTTTACTTATAACAATCAAAGTTAGTCTTCCCTATTATTCAACCTTTTCCTTGCTGTACTCTACTACTAATTAGTGAGAAGTAGTAGTTCGATGTGTTGATCATACCATGGTCTATTAGCCTCATGAAGGCCTGGGGACCGATCCCTCAAAGCGCACTCGCGTTACGTAACAACCTCTGTTTATGGAATTACATCACGCGCCCTCGACTTATGGCGTGGATAGAATTGCGAGGAATGTGTGTATATCGAACAGGATTATTGTTGCGTAACTAATGTGAAAGGAAAATAAATGTTGGTTCCCATAAAGAGGTAAAGGATAGGGCTATGAAGAGGGAAGGATGGAGGGTGTTACACAACTGAAGTACTGTGATGCTGCACTGACAAGAGCGTAGCTCTTAAATTAAAGAAGAACTAATGTGACCTGTCTTGTTACGTTCTCCCTACCATTTGATTAACCCATTTGGTAAATAGTGATGCAGTCCGTGGTAGTAAACAGTAGCCCGGTAAGCTTTACTGTGGCAGGGCCACGTAGCAATCTTCGCTGTTGCACAAACGGGCAGGTCCGTCCGGGTAAGTACCACGACCTCAAAGACCGGCCTGAAGTGGAAGTGTAACACTTCTACGTTCCGTGTGGTAGGTCAGGTAACCGGGGCCCTACTTTATTGAAAGGTGGCAACGCATTTGTAAGGCTACGGGTTCTGTAATTGTTCTTGGGCGGCGGTTATCACTTAACATCAGGTGAACCACCAGCTCGCTTGCCATATTTCTCTTACATAAAACATTGCCTTAAAGACACACTCTTGGTAATCAGACGGAAAGACTGACGTTAGCAAATTGATCCTATTCTTTTCTATTTGCATTAAAAGATGGGTATTTACCTCGTTAAACGCGAGCATTGTCGTCAGAAATTCAGCAAATGGTTTCGTTTCCTTAGGTTTCCTATGAGATTGATTGATGTCATGTGAGATTTTGTCTACCCTCCCTCAATAATCCAAGGCCATGGCAGTGAGCTCAAATAGGGTTAAGTTAATACTTTTGAATATATGCTATACGAAGAATATTATATAAGTAATCTCAGTGCAAAGGATTGAGTTTGGCCTTTGTCTATTGAGATTCTTTTTTAGTGAACATTGTCACCGTGATATTAATTATCTTAGTTTGTCTTATAATTCAAAATAAATATACCTACAAAACTGCTTAATAGAAATTGACGAAAATTTCAGGTTTTTTAGTTAAAAACCCCCATCTGATTTTGGGTTAAACCTTCCGTCATGCCTATTATAAGAAACGCCACATAATGGAGACAAATAATACCTACTTAATGAAATACCTAGCCATTTCCCGTCGATAACTTTAAATTCTGAATAAAAAAATATTAGGCTTAAACTGTAAATGTAAAAAAAAATGTAAATCATTAACTAATAAAATACTTATAACATTTTTTATTACACAATTATTTTAACTTTCATAAAATCAGGATACAACATAAAATAATAGATATCCGAATGTCATTTATACATACATAATGTCATTTCAGAGGATGTCTGTCTGATTCATATTTAAATTCATTCGTAGAATCACTGATAAGCTTAACGAAGTACAGTTAAGACCTAAACGCAATTTAATTAAACTTATTTTATTTAATGTGTTTCCATCCAATTCATTTTACTTAGCATTCCTATTACATACTACCCGTCGCTCATTTACCTTGTCCTATACTTTACTCGCCTGAAAACAACTGCAAAACAATCGATTGCGGATATAAATATCGCAACGTCATAAAAAAACACCCCGACCACGCTCGGCGGGCCGTTCATAAATAGCCGACGCAAATTAAATTCCGAACGCATCCCAGCGCGACTGTACCGCGCAGGTTCGTTACATAAAACTTTTGACGGGGCTCGTTCAGAGTTTAAGCGCAACTGCATCTTGCGGAGTGCGTCGGCGAAAGCGAAAAAAACGCAGTGATCTACGGAATATGCAAACGTCGGAAACATAGAAGGGTTACTGATGAACTTAACTTACCCTTTAACGCGGCAGCGGGCTCAGACGAACATCGTCGGCGAAGCGAGTGCGCTTTGACGCGCGGACACTTGTTATTTACAGGCGCGCCGTGCGACGCGACGCCGCTCTCTGGCGGCACGTCAGACGGTCCGCATATTTTCCCGCGCCTGCGCGCCAAGATGGCGGCGCGGGTCGATAGTTTCCCGCGATAAGGCACCGGCTCACTCGCCCCCATGGCGGGCGGCATTGTGGAAACGGGCTAATGTTCAGCAACGAGGTCACAAGTTCGAATACGCCCGCGCTTCCGCGGTGACGTGAGCGCCGACGGTTCTTGCGCTCTGCGCAATAAATTGCGCTCCCTACGTTTTTTCCCAACCCTAGTGCGACTGTTGCTGCAATTGCGCGGTCTTTTTTGTCGTTTTCATCGTTTGTCTCGATTTTTTTTAATTGGCATCCTTTTCGTTTGCTCTTCAGCTAATTAGCGTTGAAACTTGGTCCTTCGAGCTGGATCAATTAGTCTAAGAGTTATGGAATGAAAAAAGTTAACTCATTTGTTTTTGGTCCCATTTAACGCAGTTATTAGTAAATGTTGCAGGTTCGATTCTCATAGACATGAGTTACTGTTTAGATGTTCCGATAGTTATTCCGGCTCTAGTCTGGGCTAGTAGTCTAGATGCTTTTATTTCTCAAAAACATTGCCCTATGATAACATTATCCTATGTTGTAAGGGCGCTTTTACAAAAATGTATTTCACGTGGACAAAGTCCATGATCTGCAACAATTATCTATAGTTCTCACAAATAGTTGTCCCGTGTGAGAACCGAACCCACTATACCCGAAGCTGAAGCCACTGGAAACTGGTTCACGGAGTCGTCACTACTAATACTACCTCAATAGAAAGTACTATAACAAACAAAACGATTAAATTTTATGATCGAAGTGTATTATATAACAGACATTAATTCAATTTGTGATCAGATGGAGTTTGTATTCAGTAGTAAATCTATTCCGAGTAAAATTCTTTAATTACATAACAGAGATTTTCGATAAAACTTGGTGAATTTTATTTTACAACTGCTAATTATAAATTTATATCCAAGGAGGAGACGCGTTTGAATATTTAAAAGAATGCGCGTGTATGCCGTGACAGCGAGCATACTCACGCCAAAGTGCGCATGCTCGTGCATCCTCTGACATTTGCCCCGCATGTTTCGAACAAGTATCATTCAATTATTACTATTAATAGTATATACTATTATTGCATCTTAATCTGTGTTAGTTAAATAAATATATAATAGGTTATAATATAAAAATATATAATAGGTTTCCCCACTAGATGGAGTGACGACCTGTGCAAATGTGCGGGAAGTCGATGGATGCAGGTGGCTCAGGATCGTACTTCATGGCAGTCTATGGGGGAGGCCTATGTTCAGCAGTGGACTAGGGGCAAACAGGTCAAACAGGCTGAAATAATGATGATATGATATAGCGGTGGTAGGGTCACGCAAGTCTTCGCTGTTGCACGAATGGGCAGGTCCGTGCGGGTAAGTACCACGACCTCACAGAAGCCGGGTGTGAAGTGAGACTGTTATACTCCTGGTTTCGTGAATAAGAAAGTGGTCTCGGCTACCTCAGCCCCGACAACTTTATTATAAGGTGGCAACGCATCTGCAACCCTACAGGTGTTGAAATGAGCGGCGGTGATTACCTAAGATCAGGTGAAGCTCTTTTGCAACTTCTCACATTAAAAAAATGTTTTGAGCGACCGTCATTCTACTATTACCGACCTGGGTGCATCGTACTCTGTGTTGATTTCACCGAATATCTATCACAATGGATTCGACTGGATGGAAAGGTACGTAAAATTTCAACTTAACCATGTTTGGATGTGCGCTTCGGCGCGAGTGCCGCGTGCTTGGTGTGAATCGTACTTTACTTGTCTTATCATATAACACAAGTTTGCATCAATCACTACCTTGATAACTAGATACCCGCATTTCCTGACACTATGCGGACAAATTCTTCAATACCTGACGAGGAAGAAAAATATACGATTTTGCAAGATAATTATCATCTTGCAAAATCGTATATTTTTCGTCGCTGTAAATGATAATGATGATGATAAGTGATACTCGTGCAATAAAGACGAATGTTGATCATAGCTAAACCCGACCACGCTTCGCTCTACTTTTTTTTCTTTTCGGTTGGAATTTCAAAATAAAAAGTATATAAAAACACTTCTTTGTTCAAAACCTATGTAATCAAAATATATAAAGTCAATCCATTGGCTAGTTTTTTAGTTCGGTGTACACAAACACACGGTGGCTAAATTTGTACATATAAATATTCATCAAAATCGATTCAGCTGTATGTTTACGAGGGACATAGGGATGGAATTACAGGTCAAACACATATAATAAAAATAAATATACATATATGAACACACATTCACATAACATAAGTACATTTTTCGGCTACGCCGCAGTCGGGTAAAAACACAAGTCGTACTGGCATTAGGCATTCAATATTTATTTCTAATAACAAAATAAATAGACCAATCAAATAATAAAGCTAAACGGAAACTTTACGATCGAATTGAAAGACACTTGAACGTTGGGACGTTTCAATCTTCGTCCACGTCCGTGGACAGGTATCGCACTTCTGGGTCCCTGGCGACCTGGCCTCGGAAACGCGCCAGGGTCAAACGGCCCCTGGAGCTGCCGGCCTCGATGGCCAGCCACGCCAAGCCACCGCAGCACACCATCACCCCCAGGACTATCAGCCAGATCTTCACACCACTCGAACCATCTGCGAGAACGGTTATTATAGACACTATAATACATAAGTATAGATGACGAGTGTTTCTTGTTGTTAACCTTGTCTGATTATAATTAAAATTTGACTGTTTTTATAAAGCCATTTTGTGCGCCCCATAACACCAATAGTGACTCTAGACCAATCTCGACGGATGCGCCATCATCGCCGGCGCAACACGCGCCCCCCGTCCTCTCAACCCGCGCCCCCCGCCTTCACAACCCGCGCCCCCCGCCCTCACAACCCGCGCCCCCCGCCCTCACAACCCGCGCCCCCCGCCCTCCCAACCCGCGCCCCCCGTCCTCACAACTGGCGCCCCCCGTCCTCTCAACCCGCGCCCCCCCGCCCTCTCAACCCGCGCCCCCCGCCCTCTCAACCCGCGCGCTGCGGGCTCAGGCCCGCAGTGCGAGACGGGGCGCCACCGCGAACTAGTCGCACCCACCCTGATGAAGGACCTCCGATGAGTCCGAAACTAGTCGGTACATACACCGCTTTTACGTGAGTTCAGCCGTCTTAATGTTACAAATACAAACATATAATAATAAATACGTAAATATATAATCATATACATAAATATATAAAACAGCACATTAACTTTTAGATGAACAGTAATTGACATACATAGATATTTCGTGGATTTTTTATGGTCGAAGCTGGCAAGGTAGCCAGGTCGCCCGATGTTAAATGATCACTGCCACCCATGGGCAGCCACGAAATCTAAGGAGTTGTAGGTGGTTGCCAAACTTAAAAGCTATAGGCGCACGGCGTCTTTACTCCGGCACTAGAAATTGGTCTAGTACGAAAAAGTAACACTGGGCGTTTTACTTTTGGTAGATGATGTTTGTGAGGTAGCCTGTCTCACTCTTCTAAAGTTTGGCCACGAGTGTGCTTCCCCGTATGTGTTTTAATAATTTGAGTGAATATTTTTATAATTATTGAAAATTATATCAAATTTTCCATATATTGTCTATGGAACTTACAGCATTTTAACAGAGTTGTGAATTTCAAAAATTTAAAGCATTATAAAAATTGCTTCGTACAGTCGTAAATTTTTTTTAATTCAAACTAGGGCTAAATGTAATAAATATTGCCTGGATTGATAAATGAATGAAGCAATTAAATATTAAATACAAAAAGTAAAAACGACAGAGCATTTTATGGTGGACATATTTGATAGTTAGTTGGTTTGGTAGTTCGAATTTGTCATAATTAATTTTCCAAGGTTTCCACTTACTTTTATGTTTTTCCGGAACTGTTTCATTTTCACCATCGTCGCCGTATTTGCCCGCCTTTTCCACCATATCTTTATAAGCGTCGTGGTCCTCTATTGGTCTGGAGTAGTCTATGGCGACCTTAGTGGTCGTGCTGGTGGTCAACGGAGTGGTTGGAGTGGTTGTTGGGTGAGTAGTCTTGGTTAATGGTGGCGAAGTGTGTGTCGTTGGTTTTTGTGTTCCATTGACGGACTTGCGTACAGTTGTGTGCTGGGTTGGGTGAGGTAGGGTGCTATTTCTGGGGCGGAGGGTAGTGCTTGTGCTGGTAGGGGGGTATTTCTTCTTGACTGCCGTAGCAACGGTGGTTGTTGCCCTCGTCGTCGGCTTGGTTGTCGTTGTGCGAGGCGTGCTCTTAGTGGTCGGGGGCTTAGCCGTCGTGGTCGTCGTGGTGGTCGTGGTCGTCGCGCTGGTCGTGGTCGTCGCCATGCTGGTGGTCGTCGAGGTTGTCTCCGGTGTAGTCGCGACCAGCCTCATAGTCTGCGGCGCTATTTCCGTTGAGCCGTTCGCACTGTCATCGCTAGTTTCTGTAACGCATGATCACATAATGATGTTATCGAAGGCATCCGAAGGAAAAATGGAAATACGTATGTAGACTGCTACTTTAGAAAGAAGAAACGTTTATTCACGGTCTAAGCACAATGGATACATACAAAACTTAAAAATAATAATGTAACTACACAATGTGGGTACCTATATAATAACTTTACTTTCACACATCTACAACCATTCTGTGGTAATTACTGAGGATGCTCATGGGCGACGGTCACTTGGCCTCAGGTGAATATCTGCTCGCTTCACGACTGTCTAGACTTTAAAAATGGTAAGACCTTGGTCGGGACAGCTTTTGGTCAGATGTTCGTCCGTCATTGAGCAAACGACCGCATTGGACGACCTCCAACAAACCCTTGACTTTCGTAGGAGATATGGTTGTCTGGAAGAAATCGCTTTCTGAGCGATAAGACCGCCTATTGTACTTCCTTTTCATTCATTTGTGGTTTGCTTTATGTATATTTTAATTATATTTTTTCTGTTTTTTTTTTTTAATGTGAAAAGTTGCCAAGCGAGCAGGTGGTTCACCTGATGTTAAGTGAATACCACCGCCCATGGTCATCTGCTACGCCCGAGGGTTTGCAGATGCGTTGACGAGGCTGCCCATTCGTGCAACCGCGGCTGATGCGTGGCCCTACCACAGTTAAAGTATAAATGAATAAAAAAAGCTTACCGGTCCCAGGGAACATGCAGACATCAAAGATGTCGGGGCAGCAGTTGTCGTGGGCGATGCAGTTAATGGTGCAGCCGCATCCACCCTCGACCTCGGGTTCGTCGAACAGCGACTCTGGACACCGCCCCACGCACGAGGTCGCTAAAACGAAAGTTGAGGAAACACTGTAAACGTATATTTAAGTACTTCAACCATTTAAACAATATACTCCGTGGCGAAGTTCACAAGGTATTGGCTTCGGCGTGGGGGGTGGTGGGTTCGATCCCCACACGGAAACACTATTTGTGTGACCCACAGATAATTGTATCGAATTTGGATGTTTGTCAACACGAAATTTATGTTTGTAAAACGTCGTTACAACACAGGACAATGTTATCTTAAAAAAAATAGAGAAAGAGAGTCTACCGTGAGGATTTTAGCATATTAATAAATAATAGTCACAATATCTAATGCAGAAAACAAGTATGTTAATATATCAGAGATAAGGAGGAAACTTTTTATAACAAGTGTATAATAATTTATTTACAGTAAAAATTTTTTTTAAATTAAATACTCCGTAGATTTGATTGCATCATCAGGATAAGGTACCAATAAAATGAAACGAGTTTCAAGAAGAAAAATAATTGTGAATCGTAACAAGTGGCAAAGAAAACAAACTAAACAATTTAAGTAACAGATGGATACATTATTAAGAAGCGATGTAAACTGGTACACAACCAAAAACAGAAAACTGAAGAATAAAATGATTTAGTAATTCCAGATCCCTTAGCAATGTAACATAAAAAACGTTATACTTACGGGTTTTCGCGGTAGTCGTCGACTTCTGCGCTGCCGTGCAGTTGCTGCCTTGCAGTATAGCCACGTCGTCTATCGCGATATCACTGGTGTAGCTCGAGCCCCGAATACCTTCTATAACGATCTGCAGAAGAGAGTTTGTAGGGTGAGCTATTCTGCGGGTTACGTCGCGTCTAGTTTCCGATGCGACACAAGTACGACTACATCGAAGGAGTGAAACAGTTTTTCAATATCACTTTTCCCGTGAGACTGTTATGCGAATAAAGGCTATCATCAATCAAGGCTATCATCCAGAGACTTCGAAGAAAAAATCCTTTATTAAGAATTTAAACGTTTTCGAACTATTTGATTAGCCTTTAACGTTTACCATCTAAGATTGCATCGATTTTAGCCATCAGGTCAGAGAGAGAGGTTAGCACATGTCGGTTTATTGACATAAAAGGGAACACATCTGATTCTGTCCTTAAAGAACAAAATCGATATTGCCAAATGAAAGTGTTTGAAATGTAGAGTTTTATTAAAAGAGGCGAGGATTAACACGACGATTTACCACTTCAAATTCAGCTGGTGGAAATTTGAATAACAATCTCTTCACATAAGATGACTATATTGATTCTTTTGTGAATGAATCTGTCTGTAGTCACTTGAAGTGAGCTGAACTGCTTAGATTAGTTTTTTGTTACTTTAATCACCAGATAAACATAAAAACTCTTATTTAGTTAGTGTTGCAACTAGAAAAGCTCTAGGTATTATGAAGGTGCTAGTAAGTCTCATTTATCTGATGTGTAATTATTAAATTACAAACAAAACGATGCAGTAAAGTTAAACCGTAAAGTTAGAAAATTTAATATTCTGGTGACCTAAAACATGAATTGTGTATACACACAAACTTAATTATACTTGATTTAAACTGTACTTGTGTATTTTATTCTTAATACACAATATATCTTCTATATATCTTCTTCTTCTTCTTCTTCTTAATGAACAAAGGCGGACTTAATTCCATAGGCATTATCTCCCAGTCAACCTTAGGGTGGTACAGAGACAGTTAGGGAGGTAAACAGAGAGTATAAAAATATTCCAAAATAATCTATTGCCCACTAAAATTTCTTTAACCGACATTTTATATTTTTTCGTCTCGTTTTCCATCGTAAGCCTTTATGTATGCGATTTTCGGATCTCTTGACTGGACAAAAAAAACACAAATATAAATATATATTAGGTGATAATGGCTTTATACATTTGTAATCGAGACGGAATATATTCTTATAGCGTTTACCCAGCTGTGAAACACAATTGACTGCTACTTTATGTTAGATTGGACGTTACAATTTTATTAATATTCTAATTAATAGTTTAGAACAATTAGAAGACGATACAATAAAATTAATATTTTAATTAATTCTTTATGTTAAATTAGACGATACAATCACCTGAAAGTTGTCGTAAACGTCGTTGAGCGGCAAAACGGCCTCGTACCACACGTCCCCCTGGTTCCCCCATTTCTCGAACAATATGTATTTCTCCTTGTTGCTGAGCTTTAGCAAACTGTCCAGGGAGAAAATCTCGGGTTTCTGGTACACTCGCAGTCCCCCTGTCGTCCTGTTAAATGAAAACAGTCAAATACTCCTGCTAGTACCGGGCTTATAGACGAAGGACTTAAAACTGTGTAGCTACAAGCTGGCTCAGTTCGCGATGTTAGTTTCTTTCAGTTACCAAGGTCTAATGACCCTGGAGTTTAAAGCTTCCACAGCGGTTTTTGTATAGGGAGGTTCTCATTTACTGTCATATTAACTTCTATAGTCTTCGCGACATAGCATGGCAATAGAGGTTATGTTTTAAATAATGACGAAGTGACCTCTTATTGACCTTGACTGCAACCGCACTGGGTTGAGCGACAATAATCTCGAATGCTGCAAGCAGTAAGTAATTATCGCTATCCCAATCATGAGCATATGCATGCTAACGCGTAAAGTCGGTAGCTTTTTTACCATCACTTTAAAATAAAACAAAAGAAAACGATTTAAAAATTATGCATTATGTATAACTCAATCTATCCATTTGCAGTCGGGCCGAGCACGTACTACAGCTGTTTTTTTTTTTATTTTCCCATACTAGATGTTTTTAGGCCCAGAAAGTGATTTTTTTTTAGTTCATTACTCGATTCCTATACATAAACAGACATTAAGGATTACAAGCTTTCTTCTTCGACACCACCACACTTTTGTGTAAGTGTTTGGCGGCGTCCTACTAACTTCAGTTAATGTTTTGCTTTAATTTTTAAGACTGTTTTTAATTCTTCATATATAAGTTACAATAAAAGACAATAATATGAGAAGTACCATAAATATATGCACAATTAACTTACTTTCCGAACATATGATAGTAGAACACGAAGCATCCGCTCTTGGCCAACGATCTATCGTACAACGGGGATATAAGGCGGGCAGTATCGTTTTGAAGCCTGGACGTGCTCTCTATATACATGTAGTAGCCTGCAAAGATAAATCTTTGAAGACGACTTGAAGAGTTAATTCTCTTCAATTCATCTTCAATGAGACATGTCCGCAATCTATGTTTCGTCAAGATAACAACGTGTTTCATTATGTTTGGATTGTTTTTATTGCAATTTAGATTTCGATTCTTTTCAGTAATTTTGTTATATATTTTTTTTTTAAATATCCAATATTTACATCATTAAATCTATCTAAATTACATATTATATACATAAACCTAATCTACGCAGAATGGTGCCAAGAACGCTAGCTGTATTTCGTCGCTGAATAGTTACGTTTAATCTTTGAGCGAGAAAAGAACCAGCCCTCTTGTCACCAGCGTTTTACGTACTAGGCGTTAAGCCTAGGACGTAAACCGTTAAAATTTTCTATGTACGGGCAAAGTTTCAACAGCAAATGGCACAAATACATAGTCTAATCTAAACAAAGAAATTTACAGTTAGATTGAAATGTTAAAAACTCAAATTTGCACAGATATAATTGTTTTCATTCGTGTCAGTCTTTAAAATGTTTTTTTGACGTAAGAATATAGCAAACGAGGAGGAACTTCACAAGTTTCAGTGATTACCGCGGGACCGAAAACAAAATCATTGTACCTATACCCGTTTCTTATCTAATTACTTGTCTAAGGCGCAATCTTCAGCGACCTTGACGTGTCTATGGCCTTATCAAGCCTCCTCTCTCCAGGTAGATTGGGATTTGGGATTGATTTAGGATAGATTGCCCGGTCCGGATGTATGGTGCTCACCCAGTCCGGCTGGTTGTGTGCCGGTGCGAATTAGCACAGCGCAACTCACGGGCGCCACACTAGACAGCAGACGTACCTGAACCGCCCTGCCCATAAGTGTGGTCGAATGACGGCCCGGTGAACAGGAAAGATGACGGGGTCTTCCTGTTCAACCGCTTCCAGTCGAAGTCGTGAAGGTCGTCCTGCACCCAGCCGCAAAGGTTCGGCTCCTCGAAGTCGCACTTTAGCGGGGACGATGACTTCGAATCTGATTGAAGAGCATTGTAATCGACACTAAAATCATTTTTTTTTATAATGGGAATAAGCGGCAAACGAGCAGGAAGCTCACCTGATGGTCAGTGGTCGCCTCCCATGTACATCTGCCACACCAGAGAGCTTACAAATGCGTTGTCGGCCTTTTAGGAAAGAGTACGCTCTCTTCTCGGAGGTTCCCAGGTCGTAACGGTTCGGGATCATGTTGAGATGTGAAAATTGTATTCCCTCACAGGAAGAGCACAAGAAATCCACCCAGGTCTGACCTGTACCCAGTAGCCGAGGCATCAAAGCTCGTCGTTTTATTTATTGAATCTGGCTACATACACTCGTATAGCCGTGAGTATTCTTATAGCCGTGTTAGCTTATTGCCCGGGCGCTCGTTTTTAATTCAACGTAGTCGAGCAACCTGAGTTCGATCCCCGGTGACGGCACCAATGAAATTGTAAATTTTAAATGCTGTCTTATCACGTGCTCAGTGGTGAAGGAAACATCGTGACCTCCATATTATCGAGATAGAAAAAAAAATGTTTCGAAAATATATATGAACCACGCCAAACCGCAGTGGGGCCGCGTGGTGGACTTTACCATAATACCCTCTGTACAGAGGAGGGCTTTGTCCAACAGTGGGCAAAGCCCTAAGACATATATAGGCTTTATACAGTATATAGTTTACTTTCACTTTGTATACTCTTTAATTACTTCTTTGAGCGTAAAACAAAACCTACCAATTCAACAGATTTATATGTAATTGAGTTACAAAGTTTAATTTGGAATCTAAAATATCTTTCACCTCGGCTGCTCTTGTTAACTGTAAGCATCAACAAACTCACCAACGCACGTGGGGGCCGTGCCGTTCCATTTGCGTCCATCGCAATAAATAGTGGATCCTCCGATCATCCTGTGATTGGGCAAGCAAAAGAACACCACCCACGCATTGTTTCTTGTTGGCATGGTTATACCGTTCTCGATTTGCGGCACGGTGCACCCAGAACCTGAATTGAATACAGAAGTTGAAGGGCCATATAAAAACAAATCCTAGTGCTTGCCACGTGGTCGAAAGTCAAGACCTATATAGTTTTTTTTATTTAATTTACACATGTATTAACTTCCTCTTTTTTAAAACATTTCTAAACAAATGAAAAAGTAGTGGACAACCACTACTATTAATATGTTTATTGCATATCATATATTATCGAGCTCTTTTATAAATCTACTTACAGTACAAATTAGTTCAGTATCATAAAAATAAGAGGAATTTCGAGGCATGACAAATTGTTGGAAAAAGTTTATCGATATAAAAACAATAGCTAGTGAACATCGGGTCACAAACAAAGAAGGAAAAGCATGAATCTTTTTCCTGTATCTATTAATAAATAGATATGGCCCTGATGTAAATATAAATATACTTTTAACTATCATATGATCTTTACTCACGAAGACGAGTGAAAGTACGGCCTGAAGAAAAGTGACAGATGGAATTATTCTATCTTTTATAGCTTTGTTATTAATTTAGTGATAAGTATACTTTACCTACTTAGTTTTTTTAGTTTTAAATTACTTAATACGTTTTGTTTTAAAATTTTATTTAGAGAAGTATTAATGAGTACAGTTTTGCCAATAAACTGTATTCTCAGCTTGGCGACCTTAATGTTTTTTCAAACAATTGTATTTACTCTGTTAATAAATAAATAAAAAAGGTAATAGAATAATATAACGGTACACCTATCCAACAGCCACTCGAAGAAGGTGGTCGTGGATGAGAAGATATACCTTCACTTTGTCTGATGAGTGAGGTAACCGAGACCTACGCTCACAAACGACAGCAACCTCACTTATTACGCTATTTTACGCGCTTATACACTATTTTGCTTTGCTGGGTTGCAAAGCTTTGAAATAGGACAATAATAAAAAGTCTTAATAAAAAGGGGGCAACTCACGAACACAAACTGGCAGTGGCACGTCCCAATCGCTGCCCCTGCAAGTTGCGTACTTGTTGCCCACCAGCTCGAATTGCTGCTGGCATATAAACTTGACCAGGCGCGACCTCTGGCGTACACGCACCTTCCCATTCTGCAGCCTGGGGTAGCCGCATGACTGCGATGATAATCTGTAATCTGGCATTATTCATGATAATATTATCATGGGGGGATATTTGTTTTAACGAAACGGAAGACTCAGCGTTGGAAGGCCTCCCTCTAGGTGGACCAATGACATCGTAAGAGTCGGGCAACCGGCGGGCGGATGCAAAGCATGCCTATATTTAACAGTGGACATCTTGCGGTTGAGGACGACGATGGTGTTGAATGATATTTGTTTTCTCGTCTGGTGAGGTTTATAAATAAAAATAGATATAAAGATATATGTTGTATGTAAAATGTATAATATAAATATATAAATATATGTATGTAATATATGTAATATATTAATGTAATATATTAATGAATGAATAAAGGGGACCCAACCAGACCGGTCAGCGCGAATGTATTGAGTAGCACCGCCTTCTGCACTTGAGCTCTTGGCGGGCTATTATCATTATTATTGTAATAATATGGTGGTATTCCACTGTTATGATATTGTGGTCTTGCAAACTCGCTACGATTTCTAACCTAACTATGATTGCGACATAATGATTCCACTGTCATGTTAAATCCGCAAATAGCTTCATAACTATCACGGAATGTGTAATCCAATGCTTATTATTCATTTCCATTAACCTAAACAAGGATTACAAAGAGTGAACTTAAGGCGGACGTAATTAAATATTGTAGTATACGTATTGAAAAATCGCACGAAGTTTACAGATATTTCCGATGTTAATGGTGTTAGCGATATAGTGATTGTATTTTTGTTTTATGTGGAAGGGGTTGGCAGGTAATAAATCCCAAGGACCACTGCGACCTAGAAGTTATATTGTAGTCTTACATGTTGCATGTAGCAGGTAGTTAAATCAAACTTATACGGATTTTCAAGCATTTCGCTCCGTTCTTAAATTCTCGTTTCGGACTCTATTCAAAGCCCGTGCCGCAGTTTTATTATAGCGGTACCAGAATCCACTAACTCAACGGGCTCGATTCCCGAACGGGAAAATTATTTTTAAGACACACAGATAATTGTATCGGATCTGGGTGTTTGTCCAAGTGAAATTTATTTATGAAAAAAGTGCTTACAACACGGGATAATGTTATCTTGAAATAAGTGCAATGTTTTAAAAAAACCCTATGACCAACCACGACCAAACGAGTGTTAAGCAAACGATGAGCCGGTCTTATCACTGACGCCAGGCTGTCCATGTGTTTTAACGCGCATGTGTGTGTGTCCGTATGTAAAAATACCACACACTAATCACCAGTGGGCAGTCCAGCGCAATAAATAAATATTATCAAACGGATGCACGCTCTTCGCGTTATGCCCTCGCTGGGAACTTCCGTTGTACGTAGCGGTCACACACAAACAAAACTCTGTGTAAAAAAGTAAAGTAGCAGCCTATAGATGTCCCACTGCTGGGCAAAGGCCTGCTCTGCACAGAGGGTACGAGAGCATAGTCCATCACGCGACCGCACTGCGGATTGGCGGACTTCACATATTCTTGGTTTCTTTCTTTCTTTTTTGGTATTATTTCGAAAACATGCAAGTTTTTCACGGTGTTTTCTTTCACCGCTGAGCACGTGTTAAATCAGTACTTACAATTAACAACTTTATTGGTGCCAGCGCCAGTATTTTTTCGAGTATATAGAATTAAAACTCAGCTATCATGGCTCGATAATGCATATATCTCTGTATATGACCATAACCACATAACTATGTTGTGGTGATATACCACGAGTAAACAAAAAAAAGGTTATTTAAAACGGGCAACAATTTAATAAGTTTCTTGGGTAAGTAAAGAAAATATGATGAGTTTTGGGACATGAATAACGGTAATTTAAAAATCGAAGACGAACAGAATGAGATATTTGTTTTTCGGGCACCACCAGTCTCAATGTTCTCGTGTAGAACACGCTGTGTTACAGGCAGCGAATTGTAGAAGTGTTATTCGCAGCGAATATACTGGCAGCGAATATTTGATGTGTGTAACCGGGGCTTTAGCGACGAGCGTGGGTGGCGCGAACCGAAAATCTGATGTCCCTCGAGACGATCGTGAACTTTTTTAGCAGGAAACCAGCCCGAAAAAGGCTACGTCACACATAATAACAAAGGTAGATAAATCTTTTAGGAAAAATTAGGATTTTTATTTTTAATGCTAGGCTCTGCACTCACTTGAAAATTTTTAGTGTTAAATTTTACCAAATTAAAAATAAACGCTTTCTGCGCTGCGGAATTCGAACCTGTTTTACCAACTAAGCTAATTGATTGATGACTTTACGACGCGAAAATCTCGAAATCTATCACGTTCTTTCTACGGAAGCTAAACAATGATAGGGCCAGCTGCAGACAACAGCTTTTATTGTGGCACAAATGGGCAGGCTCGTCTGGTAAAGAGCCTCACAGAAGAGCAGCGTGAAGTGAAAGTATCACGCTTTCGCGTTTCGTGTGGTGAGTGATACAATCGGGGCCCACGTTTTAGGGTTCCGTACCCAATGGGTAAAAGCCGATCAAAGTACATAGTCGTTTCCGACTACGTCCTATCACTAGTTCATTTATCACTAGCACTCAAATAAAAATAAGTTAATAAAAATTATGACATTTAAATTCTTCCATTGATAATTTCGAAATTTGGATCTCTGATAAGAAATAACTATGACGATTTGCGTCCTTCGGAAATATTCTTTAAAATCGAAGACCATACATCGCATATCATTTAAATACCCGGAGGTCCGAGCTTTGCTCGGTTTGTTTTTTTTTTTGGTAAATCGTGTGTTTTGGAAATTACATTTAGATACAAATTACTGAGTAATGAAATATGCGTAATATTTTTTGATCTTACCGACATAATAATAAGAAAATATGAAGTGGCGTTTCACAAAAGAAACAACTTTAAAAAAAAGGGAAAAAGTAACAAAATAACAAATCGACAAAAAAATTAAAAATAAAGAAAGCAATGATAAGGAATTGAAAAAAAAGTAAAAAAAGAGTGTGTAAATGATCGTGATACGAACCACTGTCGTCTGTTTTGGGGCCGCCCGATTACCGATCGAGCTATTATGACATTTTCTTTTGCGGCGAAATTTACCGTCATATTCAAATGATATTTTTCATTCCCTGAAAACAGGGATAAAACGACATTTTCTAAAAATGAAACCTAGCTAGATCGATTTTTCGCCCCCGAATCTACTACGCACATACTAAATTTCATGAAAATCGCTGGAGCCGTTTCCGAGATTCCGATTATATATATACAAGAATTGCTCGTTTAAAGGATAAGATATAGTTATAATAGTTAAGTAATTAAAAAACAAATAGGTATATATTGATATATCTGAGTAAACGACAAAAGAGAAAAGCTAAGAAGGCATCGATTATGAACCAAAGCTGATTGATAGAACCTTTAAAAGATTAAATTCCGATGAAATAGGTACATTTAACATAATTATTATTAAAATAGGTATCTAAATCAATGTGAAATATTCATGACAGTTCATTAAAACCCTCATTACTAATTTTTTAGTTACATTAAGCTGTGATAGACTTGCAATTAAAACTTCTACTTTCGATTATTCATACTAGGCCCACGATTAATTTAATGGGTCCTTAAAATACTCCGAGTTTGTTTGTACAGAATTTTCGTAGTTACTGATAACTGCGTTGCTACTAGTGAAATTAACCTTTCGTCAAGCGTTAAAATTTGTAGAAAAAGTACGAAAAGATTGTCGCCGCTGTGGGAATCGAACCCACGTCTTCGGCATTCGCGGCCTAACGCTTTAACCACTAAACTAAACGGCTGATTGCCACACCGACGAAAATCTTAACGTCTTTTATCTACATTGTTTTTTTAGCATTTGTAGCAATGCCTTTAAAAGGATATAACAATGGACCCTTAGTGGCTAAAGCGTCAGGCCGCGAATGCCGAAGACGTGGATCCGATTCCCACAGCGGCGACAACTTTTTCGTACTTTTTCTACATATTTTATATATTCTACATATTTATCAATGTTCAATCTTAAGTGATTAGCACTATAAACGATTTAAATTTTTTCGTCAAGCGGTCAAAAGTTTAACGTCTTACTAGTAAAGTACTTACTTATAACAATAACACAGACCCAGGTTCGATTCTGCGCGGCAATTTAACCATTCTTAGAAAAGCCTTCGCAAACGTACAGTTTTTCATTCTAAACACAGTTATAAAAGCTTCAGTTATGAATTACTATTACAAATAGCATAGAATGAATTAATAAATAAGTGGTAGATATTACTTATGTATGTAACTTACCGGCTTCAATGTATCCGACTATGAATAAAACTAAAAAACACTTTATGTACATGTTGCACAAACAAAACATTAAATCGAGGTCAATTGGCACAATTAGTTTTTTATACACGAAATAAAAAAAATAAAAAAAAATATCCTATTGCTCCAACATTTGGGACTAGAATGGTCATCGAGAACCACACATTGAAATGAGTTTTTAATGTACATGTTATATATTTTAGTTGTTAAACAAAGATCACTTGACAATGCAGAAGTGGCAAAGGGCAGAAAATATTTTAATCTTTCGATGCTTATAGTACATAAGTTTTTGGGACATGTATTAATTTCGACTTTTGTTTCACAATAATAAATTGAAATAATAATAATAAAAGAAGTAAAAATGTGCCTCCAAAGCCTTTTTATCAAACTCAATCGATTCGTATATAAGAATACAAAATTAGGCAGGATTAAGAACGGTGCAGGTATCTCATAAACGTTACTAACTTGTATTAAGTTATTATAAACATTCTACCATTAAACTGTAAAGGAATCGTTTCCTTAGACTTTAAAAAGCTTTTTTTACTAACACAAGGTAGGTAATTTTCATTTTGTAGTTTAATTTAACTATCAAACATATATCACAAAACCAATGGTTAGGCATCAAATGTTAAACACAGCTCTTATATATATTTTTTTATACAGGATAGGTGACTTTAATTTTAATATCAAATATGTATCACGGAATCAATAGTTACGCATCAAACGATGTCGAACTCAGCTCTAACTAATCTATGCCCCGAACGGGATGCAGTTTGCTATCAAAGGAAACGGACTTTCCACCGATATCCAGCATAATAGTATCATTGCTCACCACGTTTTGGACAAACAGATTAGTGGTACAATACGATGATGGTATGTTATCAACCCCACCCCAGGGTTGAAGCGGTGAATCACAGATAAAATAGTTCTGGGAATCAGAGACTGCGCTTTCTACGTCTAGCCATTTTATTTCCCATCTGTTTATCAGGTGACAGATTAGGAAATTTCATGGAATGGGCCAGACTCTTTGTCCTTTGAACTTCGCTATGCACTTTTCGAACTTGTTTTGTTATATTGTATCAGTCACAATTGTTGCTTAACTATCTAGTTAGTTCGAGTTTCGTAACCCAATCGACATAGGCAACGAAGTTAAGAGCTATCAACACCCTTTTAATTATCTTTGTACAGTATATTTCAATCAAACGCTAGCGAGTAAAGAAAAACATATTCCTTCACATGTTTTGTATCGTTTTATTTTTTAACATCACTTACTTCGGTATAAAATTATACTATTCTGCACAGGTGTTCTTTTTTAAAATTTTACATAGACAAATATCTTATCTTATATTTTTGTAAACGTTATATAGGAATATCATTTTAAAAAGCCCATCAAATGAACACATTTTTTCCTGTCCAAAATTAACTTTGTTCAATCGCAACTAATAGGCTGGCTCGTCCGCGGGGTATTTCCCACGGATGGCCTGACAGAAATTAAGACTTTGCGTAATACTTTCGCATTTCGTTATATTAATTTAAACCTTGGCTCGTCCTCTGCAACCGGTTGCAGATGCCCATAGCGGCGGTAATCACTTAACAAATCACCCGACGTTTGCGAGCTGACTAAGAAATAATTCAGATAAATTTTAAAGAGAAAAAAAAAAGCGTTTTATCACAATTTATATAAATTATTTACAAAAACTTAGGCCTAATAGTTACGAAACAACTCTGCGTTGGTACATTTTTTTGTATTAAAATCATATTTTAAAAATGATTAAATTAAAATTTTGCACTATTGTTCCGATTAATAAAATACTCATTAGCCGGATGAATAATTTACACATTATAATTACAGTTACTGTATGCAGTTACGTCGATTTTCATATCTACAAGTCTCTTGATTAGCCAAAAAAACGGCGAGTGACATAGGATAATGAGGTATTCTTCTTGCTCGGTCCCTCAATTCTGAAGATCGTGACCACATGTCGGGATAACAAGGTAAGAGATTGATTTAATACTGAGGTACCTATATACGGTGAGTCGTAACATAAAAATCAATGGAGTCTACAAAATACAAAAGTCAAAATACAAAATACAAGAGTCTAGGATAGAAAAGTCATCAATCTGCGAGATATATTTTGTATTAAAAAAAAAATAGTTTAAATGTTTGTAGTGCTAATCTCTGCACTTGAGATGAAACTTTAAATTTGTAGAAAAAATGGACGAAAAGTTAGGAAAAAAACAAATGTAGGTAGATAAAATAAGCTGACATTTTCGTCGATGTGGCAATAAGGCGTTTATCTTTAAAGCGTCACAGCGCGGAAAACGTGGGTTCGATTCCGAAGCGGTCGAAAACTTTTCATCCAATTTTTGTACAAATTTTAATCATATATTTATTTTGTTCAATGTTTTGTAGAGTACGAATAATGTCTATGCTATAAACAAGAATCATTTATTTATAACTTCAAAAATTGTGTTTGAATACCTATAGTTTTGCTAACTGCTTGATTCCGCTTCGTGCTCATTCCGCTTCGTGCTCTCGTACGGAACGGATGTCTCTCTAAGACGGAGGGCACATGCCACCCGAATTAGACGCCACTCGCAACCTCGGTTGCAATTTAAATCTTGTGCAAATAGTGCAGTAGATTAGTGTTAGTGTAGTGTTGTGCTCGTAGGCAGGTTCCTGTTTTGTAAGTAGAATCCTACACACACTTCTCGCCTCAGAGGCGGCATTGTTTCATTTATTATTATTTACTGTGTGCTTGTTGCAATAGGCGACAGCTAGGTACCCACCCTAGCGCACCTAAAGCGCAGGCAAATTAGCTGTTATTTTTAGGCACACTCCTCCCTGCCGCAAGGTGGGGAGGCTTATTTAGCTCACACACGCCGGCGGGGCTACAAGCCCCAAAGGCCCTTACGTCGCGATGGGCTCCCTTTTCGAGGAGTTCGTACGCAGAGAATGCCCCGCTATGTGGGAACGTTATCTTGCCTATGCAGCCGAGCATAGGCAAGTAGCTGAACTCGCGCCGCCGCCATTGCCCGCGCCGTCTGCGTCCGTTACCCCGTCGCCCTCCGCGACCTTAGAAGCCCCCGTCGCGTCGGCATCCGCTAACGCGAACCCGCCCGTAGCACCTTCCGTGCAACCAAACCCGACCTCTTTTCGCTCCGTCGTACCCGACTCACAATCGGACGGTGGATCGGACATGGAGGTCGAAACGACCACCGCTGAAAACGCGAACGCCGACGGCTTCACCGTCGTTAAATCGCGTAAAAAGGGCAAGAAACGCCCCGCTACCGACAGCGACCCCGAATGCGAGGCCGCCTCAACGATCCGTCCAACCGCGACGCCCGCTAAAAAGGCGGCCGCGGCGGCTAATCCGATGCCCGAATTCGCCTCCGAGCGAAAAATAAAGCCTCCTCCACCCATCATCATTCAGGAGAAGGCTAAGTGGCACCAAATTTGTTCGTGGTTTGAACGCCACAATATCCGCGACCCCGGTCGAAAAATACACAAATGGGTATCCGCGTATACCTTGACACAACGGACGATTTCCGCCGCGTAACGAAATACTTGCGCGAAAATAAGATAGGTTTTCACACCTACTCGTTGCCCGAAGAACGCAAGCTTCGGGTAGTTATCAAGGGCATCCCCAAAGAGTCGGATGTCGACAAGGCGAAAACCGACATCCGCACTCAGGGATACCCTGTGCATGCCGTCCGACGCCTCAGACACCCCAGAACCCGTGTCCCTATGGACATGGTGATGGTTGAACTTGACCCTACCCCGGAAGGTAAGGCCATCTTCAACCTGAAGAGGGTCTGTGGGCTCAGTGACTTAGTCATCGAGCCCCCGCGTAAGTCAGGTGTTGTTGTACAGTGCCACAACTGTCAGCAGTTTTGGCCACACGGCCAATAACTGCTTCGCTCACCCAAGGTGCGTCAAATGCACCGGTGACCACGGCACTACCGAGTGCACGCGGCCGAAAGATTGCGCAGATCCACCGGACTGCGTAAACTGTAACGCCACCGGCCACCCGGCTAGCTACAGAGGCTGCGCTAAGGCCCCGAAAACTCCCGCGAGGAAATCTCCCGCGAAATCCCCGTTGCCCAAACCCGCGCCCGTTAGATTCATTCCCGCGCCCGTACCCGTCACAAACGCCTGGACGAAACCCCAGGTGGCCGCGCAGGTAACCGCGCCGGTAATCCGATCGCACAACAGCTGCCCGCCTCTCAAAAGGCGCCGCGGCCGCAGGTGCAGCCAACTCCGTCAGTTTTCGCGGAAAACAAGGACGACCCATTCGCGCAAATCGCTAATATTTGCAGCTTATTAGATAGGATCAATAGGCAGGAACTCGCCGTATTGTCCGCTAAAATAGCGGCCGCCACATCTGGCCACGAGCGTCTTAGGGCAATTAGCCAACATAAAACGCTTGTGGAAGCCCTTTGGGCTTTTACGAGCCAACCGTAAAAGACAATAGTCCACGCAATAAAACCGCGCTCCGCCGCGTCGTTAATTAGACCCATAAAAACACCTTAATGGGAAGTACAACCGCAGGTAGAACAAAACCTCGGGCTCTGGTTGTTTCGTATTTCAACGCAAACGGCATAAAGGGTCAAAGATACGAAATCGCGGAATTCCTTCGCGATTATAACGTAGATATTTTTCTAGTGCAAGAGACATTCTTGAAACCTAGTGTACGCGATCCCAGAATCGCAAATTACAATATTGTCCGCCACGACCGGTTAGCAAACCGTCTGGGAGGCACACTAATTTATTATAAACGGTCCTTGCACTGTTGCCCGCTCGACATTCCAGAGCTAAGTCAAATAGAGGCATCCGCGTGTAGGTTAGCGCTCACCGGCCACAGGCCGCTTGTACTAGTCTCAGCCTACCTCTCGGGGAACAAAACCTTATTACAAAGCGACCTAGTTACGCTACTCAACTTAGGCCCTTCCGTGATAATTGCAGGAGATCTAAACTGCAAACACGGTTCATGGGGCATCCACAGCATCCCAAATAACAACGGAAAGCATCTC